ACCCTGGGGGGGCCCACGGGGCGTTTTTGGCCCCCCCCCCCCCGCCCCACCTAAATCAGGGGCTTGGGCGGGGGTAGAGATCACGTGACACCGAATAAAACTGACAAGGTGGGGGCGGGGCAGCCGGGGGGTTGTGCCCTCTGCTGCCCCCATCAGCCCTTTCCCTGCCCCCTTGCTGCCTCCTCCCTGCCTCTTCGGATCCCGCAAGTCCCCCCGCAAGTCCCCCTGTCATGATTATGGGGGTTATCCAGCAGCCTGGGGATTAAGGGGTTAACTACACCTAGCCAGGTGGAGTGACCAATAGGAATGTAGGTGGGACTTTCAACCTGGGACAAAGGAATTTGGGTTTTTTCCTTTCTCCTTTTGTCTCTCTGAGAGTCCTCTGCAGCTACAGAGAGGGACAAGCATGTCTCTCTCTCTCTCCAAGACACCATTCTTCATTTTCTGTAAGTAGGGTAAAGTTTAGGTAGTTTCGTTAGGTTTTATTGTTTTAAGGATTGGGTATGGGATCTGATGTCTGGCACTGGTTAAAAGATGGTTTGGCTTTTCTTTGTAACTAAGTTCTAGGCCCATGGAGTTTCTCCATGAGTATATTTTGTTACCTTCCTATCTAGTCATTATGCTTACAACAGGAATATTGTTGTAATAATAAAAGTTCTTTCCTTTCTTTTTATTAACCTGGCATTGGTTAATAGTGTGCCCTGATTTTTATTTTAGGGGTGAGATTTCCCAAATGATCTTTCCCCTGGTTTCTTTAGCAACATTTGGATGGTGGCAGCGGAAGTTTTATTCCCAAGATCTAGGTTTTTAAGATTTTGGGGGAAGTTTTATACCAAAGACTGGTAGATAAGGCTTTGGGGTACACTTGCTGGCCCCCACTTCTGCATTCATCATGCCATGACACCCCCCTTCCACGCAGGTCATCTGGCAAGAAACTGCTGATCCAAAGCTGAGGTTGTGGAACCCCCATTCTGTGATTCTTGTCCTCGCTTTCCTGTTGTTGTGAGTCCTACTCCATAGTTGACGCAGTGCTGTGGGTGTGAGAGATGTGCCTGTAAGTCCCTGCTGAGAGTGTGGGCCCTGCTCTGCCTGGTTCGGAAGGGAACAAACACAAGTCCAATTAACAGGGGCTCTGACACTCCAGCAGTTGGGCCGTCCAGCCCTTCAGCTATATTCAGACCAGGCCAGGCAGAGCCTGTTGCACTTGCTGAGGGGGATTCTGCAATGGCAGCCTTGGGAGCCAGGTCACATGCCAAAGCTGTCCCATGATGCTGCCAGGCTTCCCCTTCACTGACAACCGGTGTTTTATCCTTCCCCTTCAGTAACAACCGGCCATTCCCCACCCAGCCCCAGCCACCGTGGGATCAGCTCCCTGCTAAAGCTGCAGCTGTGGGAGACGAGACATCAAGGCATGAATTTTCACCCATGGCTAGTGTGGGGTGACCCACACTCTGGGGCAGCTGGAGGTGCCTCCTGAGAGCTGATTTTTGGAGGGGTGTGATCAATCCTTCCTGTGTTTCTGTCTCTTTGCAAGGGCTTGAATCTGGCAGCTAAAAGTAGAGGAATATGCATTTGTAAAAGGGAATTTGTGGCTTTTTACTGCCCCTAGTGTGCTCCAGTGGCCTGATTGACAAGGCATTGGCTTCCTAAGTCAGGGACTGTGGGTTCAAGTCTCATCTGGGGTGACAATTGAGATGTTTCCTAGCAGATGCAAAGTCTCTTTGGCTTCCTTTTTGCCATGGCAGCTGTGAAGTGTTTGAGCCCCTGGAATTGCCAGTTCTTGCTGCTGCCTAAGGCACCTTTTTGAAAGGGTCACATGTGAGGAAGGCTCTGATAGGCCAGCTAGATCAGTTGGTTAGAGTGTTTATGAAATCTGCTACGTCTGTGCTCTTTCATAATCATGTCAGAGCTCACAGGTCAAGCCCACGCTTGGCTTCTGGGTGGAACCTGCCTCGCTAGTGTGGCAGCCCCTTCTCAGGGAGTCTCCTCTAGTGTGGTCCCCCTGTCATGAGGGAGGCCCACTCTCACCTTAGGGATCTGCCCCTCCACCTCCAGGACAGTGCCTCTCAGGACCTTTGATCGCCTGCCTCCACTGTGAGGTCCTTCGGGGGGTCCACTCCCTCTGGACCCCCAGGGCCTCCGCTCCCAGAAGGAATAGCGCTATCCTGTTCTCTAGACCAGAGCAACTCTCAGCCAGCACCAAATAGGAGGGTCTATTGAGCTTTGAACACAGCAAAGGATTTATCAGACCAGTAGACCTGGGCCCTCAGCCCTGCCTGCTCTGCTCTGAGTCCCCAGAGAAACAGGTCCCAGTCTCCCAGCAGAGCCTCCAATATCCCCAGCAACAAACCTCCCCAGTTCATTGTCTTCTCCCCAGGTGAGAGGGTCGCCTGGCCCCTCTTTCCTCCACCGCCTCTTGTCGGTCCAATGTTCTCCCCTTGCTGGGCTCAGCTGCGCCGGTTGCCAGGGTCCCTCTCTGCAGCCCATTGTCTGTCATCTGGCCAGAACCCGCTGTGTCCTCTGAGCAGGGTTGGGGTTACCAGGGTCCCAGACACCACGGCTCCAACTCTGGGCTGTTCTCTGAAACAACAAACTCCCCACCTTTGTCACATTCATCCAGTAACTTCCAGGCACTGAGTGCCCCCCTGTATGCAACACCCCCTTCTGAACCCCCAAAAGTCCCCACTTCCTCACACATGAGGAGTGCCAGTGGGTGGAGGAAGGGAAGGGCTGGGGTGACACAGGCAGGCTCTGATTGGGAGACTTAGGAGCAGGGACAGCACATGAAGCCCCTTCCCTACCGCTATGAAACCCTTTTCTCACTGGTGTATGGGGATGGGGGAAGCAGGGAATCTGCCTGAGGCTTCTTGCTGCGTTTGCAGGCCAGATCCAATGGCTTGATGGGCTAGATCCAGACCTTTGGCCTGTATTGTCCAGGCCTGGCTTAGAGGGAACCGTGGCTCTGGGCTGTGGGGGAGGGGTGCTGTGGAAAGGCCAGTCTTGCCTTCCTGGGCAGGGTATGACGACGGTCATTTTGTGCGGCACGGCTGCCAAACATCCCAGACAGAGAATTACAGGCCAGACCGGCCTTTTGCAGCAGCTAAAGTAGCTCAGTTGGATGAGTGTGAAGCTGAAGAACTAAAGGTCCCTAGCTCAA